TCTGACCTTTACTTCTGGTGTCAAGGCTCAAAGTCCATCATACTTTCTACTTTCAAATACTTATATCCGAAATAGATATTTACCCTAGAAGACTAGCGGGATCCTGTCTTTCCTGGGTCCAACACACTTAGTTATCCTTGAAAAGGGGTTCTAGTTCATCAAGAGTTATGCAATTTTGGTGAGTCATCCCATCAAGCTGTCCTATAATTCGCCAGCTCCCCTGCTTGGTAATTTGGATGCCAACTCAATATACCCGCCAAACACGTGGGAGGAAAACCTACTACGCCGGCACCGTCCGCAAGGGGCCTCCTAGCTTTTTAGGCCAATATCATGATATGGTCATTGTCAAGCAGGAATTACAAAACAAGAAAGGCAAACCCAAACCACTGCGCAAGAGGTTGCCATTATCTTGATACATGTCAGTTAACCTGAAACATTTAACAACAACACAATTACATTCATGAATTTCAAAAGACTCAAAATCGTTTGCAGTATTTGAAAGAAAATGCTAAGCGCTTAAAACGCCTCTTCACACAGAAGTCACCATAAGGGAACGTTTCATAATTACAGAAGGCGGTATTTACCGCGGTACTGCTGCATTTTTGCGGTACCAGCATTAAGCCCTTTCGGGTAACTAGTGCGGTGCCGCTAAAAAAACAGCGGTACCGCAGTAAATACCGCCTTCAACAATTATGAAACGCTCCCTAATTGTAATGTTAGTAGTTGTCTTTGATTCCAAATGCACTCTTGTGGTGTGGAGAGCACAGCAAGGACGTGTTACTTCGGTCCCCCACTGAAACCTGATCTTGACAACCCGGATTACTGGATGAAGCTAGTCATGAAAGAGATACAGGAGCATTGCCCGGGAAAGAGGGGATGTAGCTCAGCTGGTAAGCACGCTAACTTCCAAATAAAATTAATTAAGCATTATTTCGTCAGCTTGAAGTAAAGTGTGATTTGTAATCAGTGGGACTTTATCAAGGTATTGTTTTGGCATTTTTCCGCATCCGTTACCCTCCGTATGTTCTGTGGGTTGCTGCATGAGAAAAAAAAATCATATTGTTAGCATGGGGTTATTCATGGGTCAGTGATTTGGCAAGTGATTCAGTTGGAATTCGTTCCACATGCTGTTTATGTTCGTGTTGTCAGATTTCACCACCAACACCCCCAAGAAGGGCAAACGGGTTTTGAAAACATTGAAAGGAGACAACCAACATATTGCAGAGAGTGTTTCATCACAACAGTTGTATACGATGCCCATTCGACAAACCTCGGCTTTTTGTAGCGCATGCAATCAAAGCAAAGCTCGTTGATTTCTGTGTTTTCCAATTTCACAATCAATGGCAGTGTAAAAAGTCCCCAAAAGCTACTTTACTGTAAATAAAAGAAAGATATGTGACTCCCTGTAAGTTTAAGAAATCCCCAAATAGTTGTCATGTGGTTAAACCGATATGGTATTTGATTTCTAAATGTCTACCCTATTGTCCCGCCGAAAAAACTGGTTTCATCTTGTATATATGTCACTTTGATTAAAAGTGATTTGAAACTGATTGTTTCTCAATAAGAATATTATGGTGCCCTTGTTTTCTCGTCTACGTGTAGAGGAGGGACTTACAGAGCCAGCTCCTAATATAGTCGAATGTTCAGCCCCCAAGCCATTAGGATTGTCGGACGGAACCATCGCCGATTCACAAATTTCGGCGTCAAGTAGTCAGCCCACTTTCAATGCCCAGGAAGCACGCCTCTTCGTTGGTGATGGATGGGCATCTGAGAGGTACGTATCCATTGGCAGCAATAAAACACCTCTTTGCCAGACTTATATTTTCATATTATATTCTGTAACGAAAGGAGGCAATGTTGTGTGCATGAGGAAGGATTAGTCAATAATGGGAAGTGTAATGTGAAAACAAGAACACGAAAGACGATAACGGTGCTGCTTTGCTGCTGTTGGTGTTGCTGCTGCTAGTGATGGTGGTGATGAGGATGATGATGGTTATGGTGATGTTGTCTCCACGGGAGGCTTGCAGAACATTTCCAGGAGTTTCTCTTGCATGGGTGTCTGCCAAGGTGGGTGACAGGGGAGAGAACTGGTTTGTTATTGAACGATGCCAAGAAGTTTTGCATGGCCAGTAATTACAGATTCTTTGTACTCGTCTTTCCTTAATGTACAAGCTTCAAACTAGTATGATAGCTGAGAATCTTGCCTTATTAAAACAGGGAGGAGAATTTTTTTCTGTACAAGACGGGCAGATTGGATTTACGAAACAATCAAGAGGAGCGAATGATCAACAGGTGATTTGCGTTGAAAGACTGTAAGAAGAGAAGAACCAACTTGTTAATGGCGTTGACTGACTATAGGAAGGCATACAGAACAGTGGCGCTTTCATGGATTATGAAGTGGTTGAATTGATTGGGGGCTGCTGAAGATGCGGAACGATTGCTGACCAACGGTATGAAAACCTGAAAAACGACGTTTACAGCCAAGAATGGAAGTCTGAAAGAAAGTCTGATTGGGGCTAGTATCAGAGGAGGGTTTTTTTTTCAGGGGAACCTCCGTGGCCTCTATTTGTTCTGGCGCTGATGATGCCACTCTCTATGGTTCGACAAAAGGCCAGTGCCGGATATGAGATGAAGGATTGCTGCAAATTGTTCATCTCCTATCCTTGAACTACTTGAAGTTGTTTGCCAAGAGCGGGAACGAGATCGATGCTTTTGTAACGACACTGTGGGTGTACAGTGGGGACACACGAACGCAGTTCGGTGTGGAGAGGAATGTGGTGTTAACACGGGGTAGGGGAAGCCGGAGGAATCCGGCATAGCATTGTTCTGCCTGATTGATGGCTGCGGAATGCGTTGGGAGAGAATGACAGATATCTTGGTATATTGGTGGTGGGCAACATGAAGCACAAAGACGTGAAGGAAGAGCTTAACAAAGAGTGTATCAGGAGGTCGGTATAGAGGTGTCTTTTGAATTGAAAGCGGAGACAAAGAAACTGATAACAATGGATGGTATGATGTATCTGAGGGTTAATAGAATTAGAAGAAGACGATGACGCTGGTTATATTCCACCCGTCATATCAGTTCCTTATGATAGAACCGAATAATTATTCGAATAAATGACTAGTAACGAAATCAAGGAAGACTTGGTTTTTTCCCTCAGCCCAAAGAAGTGGTTGAGGTATTCGAGTTCATGCCAGGGCTTCATTTAATGCACGTCCCTGCGAAAGTTTAATTGAACTACCAGTTTAAGTCGTGTTTTTCTGCCAAATTCCCCACTTGCAAGTGAGTTTATTTGCAGACCGCTGTTATTTCACATTTCCCAAATTCCTTTTTCGCTCTATGTAGTATCGACACCAATCCCTGGATTGAGGTGGACCTTGGTGAGAGTACAGTGGTGTCTGGTGTCGTCACAGAAGCATACCTTTACCTGACAGGCATTTGCCAACTTGTTACGAAGTACAGGGTGGCGTATCAGACACAATCCTCATCTGACCGGGTACTGGTGACGGACGGCAAAGGAAATGCCACGGTATAGAATTAACAATTTTGTATTGCTTGCCTGTCTTGCTGTTGTTATTGTCGTCCCTTTTTGGCGCTGTTGTTTTGTTTTGTCAGGGATTTACCGATGAACAACTTTTACACATATTACACGCTAAAAAATCCTCCTCAGTTAAAAAAAAATGCAAGACGAGAGCTTATACAATCAATGCTATTAGTAGAAATTTTAACTTCTGTTTTTGGCAGTCTCAGAAGAGTGTTCGTAATTGTTACAGAGCAGTTATCCAAAACAGACCTTGCATACTCAAGACACGGTTGAATGGTTCTTTTAATAAAGTATGAAGAAGATGCTTGTTCGTGACATGCCTACTTCAAGGAATGGAATAAAACGTTATACGTAACCCATTTACAAACATTCCTTACGTATGAGTGAGGTTTTTGACGACCTCGATCCCTAAAAACTTTACTTTGTCAGACTATTCAAGTTGAGTGCCCCTGGAGGAAATAGTCAATTTTTTGGCATTGTAAACACGACTCAATTTCAAAGGCATAATTTACTTTTATCAGGATCAGGGGAAAGACGATTGCATCGTACAACTGACCAGTTCTATCAATAGTGTACTGCAAAGCCTGGTTGAACTTATTAACTTTTAATACTCCCGTTATTATAGCAAATGTGTGACCCACCTTTTCAAAACCAGGATGGAGTAGGTAGTTTTGACTTTCTTTTTGAACTTTAAAGTAATCCATGTAAAGTCTGAATTCTGTCTGCAAAAGGTTTATACGGGTAGATACAGCTGTGGAACTTCCATGGAAATATGTGAACAATAGAAGCCCCACTGTTTGAGTGATATTAAGTTACGTTTCAGCCTGGATAAGGGATGGTGGGTTACTGATGTTACATTTGCACTTTGAATTAACACCATGTGATGCAATTGGTGTAAAGTAATGTAAAGGGGGTTGGTCCCAGAACACTTCCCTGAGGAATGCTTATAGAAATATCACGGGATTCGAGGTATTACAATAAATTCAGCCACTTACTCTCTGTTAAAAAAACAACAACAAAATTTTCCAACCACCTCAACCCATTGCCAGACATCCATGCCACTTGCTCTGGTTTTAAAAGCTAACAAATCATGGTCAATAGTATTAATCCACTTAGCTTTATCAAAATCATCCATTACACGATGCACTCAAAACTCAGTAGAGTGGCTCTTAAGAAAAGCAAATCGATCAACCTTTTTTATGTCATGGGCTTTGAGGTAAACCTGACGTTGAAAATGAATTTCTTTTTTTCAATAATTGTAGCAAAATTGCAAACAACAGATAAACTACGGCAAGTACGTTCGTCCTCATTGCATTTTGAAAGATACCGTGTATACATACATTTCTTTGTATATTTTGTTTCGTTTCAGTTGTTCAAAGGCAACACCGAGTGCGGCAACCCGGTCATGAACTTGTTTAATGGGAGTGTGGTTGCTAGAGTAGTGCGCGTTGAGCCTGTTGAATGGCGTACGAAAGTTGCTCTGAAGTTGGAGTTGCTTGGTTGTCGCCATGAGTAGTTCAGCCTACTATCATTTCAGTGCTCACGTCATGTTTGGCTGCTAATTTGTAGTGCCAACAAATAAAACATGATATGACTATTTCAATGAAGAATCGATATTTAGAGAATAGTGTCAGTTTGCTTGTAACTTTTCAAATTCTGTTTGCACATTTTGTTGCCACTAAGCATGACACTAGAATCTGCAAGGAACACAGCAGTTCTGCTTAACGAAAATAGGTTACCTGCCAAAAATACCTACCAATATGCATTTTATTGTTATGTACTTACTTTCACACCTGATTAGCAGCTTTGTCAAATAGGTTTGTGATCAGGGATTTCAACTCATTTGTGTACGGAATAGTTGTTTCATGTGGTAAATTTGGTAATTGCAATGCTTACCAGCTGTACGTTTTAGAATTGAAGGCAAGAGGGGAGACGGTGCATTATGTCAGAGAGAATGGACGACGACTACAGACTCTTGCAAGGAATAAACGAGGAGAAGCTAAGCCAATTTATGCCAGAATCTCAAGTTTCCGGTATCACTACGACCATCTAACAAAAGAAACAATAACAAAAGTGCACTAACAATGAACATCCGTTGTTAATGCACCGTACTTATTTTGTTAGATGTCCATAGTGTATATGTCCCCCCACAGATGTTATTTTAAAAACAAGGGAACAAAACACCTTGAGATTTGTTCTTATATACGATGAGTTATGATGGTGAACAATCTTAGTCGCATTCATCAACATATACGGCTCATAGTAATTCATTCAAACAGCATTGGTGGATTATCATATGCTTTCTTCCTTGCCTCTGAAATAAAAACTTTAGTCTTGCATGTATGAACGCAAGAGCCAGGTACAGACACCTTTTAGAATGTGTAAAATAAATTATTTCATACAATCGATGCGAATGTTTACCGTTGACGATTGTAATACCATGCAGCTACCATACGGAATTTGGCTAGAAGCTTGATTTAGAATAACATGTTATGACTGCTCAACTAATGGTCACTGATCTTGACATGTGTGTTATATGGATATGCATTGAGACCCTTATGAACATGAAATTATTTCATTTGGAAAATAGTAACATTGGATTGTCACGCGAAATACACGGAACTGTAAGTCTCTTGCATAGGGTTCGATTAATTCTGATCAGTTATTTATCCAGTTCTTAAAATCACCCATGGATTATCCTCAGCTTACATGCCTTGCTAAACTGTACACTGAACATTTATGATAAACTTCATACAGAAAATATTCATACAAAACCCATACAGAAAAATGCGCAGTGAAATTGAAAAAGCAAAAATGAAGTTCATTGTAACTCGATTGGAAGCATATTTTCATCAGACAAAGAACAAAGACAAAGAGAAAAATATTTTATTATTCAAAATCATTATACAGTCAGGTGAAAATAAATACGAATTGATAAAAAAGAGGGAATACCTTTGACTCATTGTAAGGTGGAAATGACCATATTTGGATGCAAAATGGAGGATAAACTGCTCAAAGAACAGTATGTTGAGAAAGAGGAAGTTTCAAAATAGCGAGAAACAGGGATAAAATAAACACCATATTAAATTGGCTTAGCTTGGAAAAACAGTTTTTTGAAGATAAATCGTTTGAGCTTAAGTGGATGCAGTGCAAATTATGTTTTGAATGCTGTGTCGTTTTGCCGTACATGAAAAGAAAAATGCTTTTTTCACTAATTAAAATCATGTAGAATTTATTTTTAACACCCACAACTTGTATATTTTACGTGAAAGACTGGACTGCAACAAAAATAATATACAGTTCACTGTAGATTTCTAATAAAAGTGTAAATTCGCAGAAGATAATCCTCAGTTCACCGATTAGAGTGACGTCACGGGAGTAGTATAAACACGTGAAAACGACATTTCTGACATTTTTACAATCTCGTTCAATGAAATTTCTGTGTCTTTGTTTATTTCTTAATGTCTTCATTGCTTTTGATGTCATGACACCGTAATGTAATTTTGTAGTGGGCATATTACGTACTATTCGCTTTTGGCTGCCTGCCGGGTCGATTGTCACTGAACAGTTTAGACCTAAGTTCAAGCGTTAAAAATGTATGGTATTGCACAAGTTTAGCAGGCCCTCCTCCGCGTCTGTTCTGCTGTGATAAACGAACTTGTGATCCAAACGACCAGTGGCCTTTAAGAATTGCGAGAACTGCACCAAGGGGTGCTCGAAAAATCAATGCCGCGGCCATATTACTATTAAACACCCCTTGGTGTTCTGTTATAATAATC